CCGACGCACACGCCCATCGCAACCGCCCGCCCCCAGATGGTCAGCCAGTCACATCGACGCTGATCCTCTGGCTTCGTTATGGAGTACGATTGAAATGAAGTGTTGTTACATGGATAAATACATACGTGCAGCATACGTGCATATATGTCAAAGCGACTATTGCCAGGATGCCAATGGAAACTACCTAAAGATGCCCGACCAATGTAGTTCAGAGCACGAGTTTTTTTTTCGCGGTGTGTTGGCCGTTTGACTTCGCTTTTTCGTCGCTTTCCACTATACAGCACCACTACTACTATTTTTTGAGCAAGTATTAAAATGGTCGTGCTTCATGCCTTCTAGGTCACACATCGCGAAAATTTTATGGCCAAGGAAATGGGCGTTTACTTCCCAGCCCTGCTCATTCCTCACTTCGCCTTGATACGGTGAAGAGTAATAGCGCACCAATGAGGAACGCACCATGGTTGTGGGTCAACGCCCTTCAGTTACAGTATACATCCTGCAATCTAAACATACTATATCACTGAGTACCTGAATAACTAAGAGGTCGTGAGAATTACATTGGTTAAGCCCCATCAAACTTTGTCATATGAATTCTGAAAAAGGTGATCAAAAGCTAAAGTTCTTACACTGGATTTGAACGAGGAAACGGAGACCATTAAGAAGTGTCCGAAAATGTTCTGGATCGCGGTCCAGGAAGAACTGAAAAAATAGTAATATATGAGTATACGCAACAACGAGGAAGGCATACTATGTGATGTTTAATGAGCTAAAAAATATTTCATTTTTTGTGACTAGTGGTATAATATCAGACTATAATGCTGAAGCGTTAAGTATAGAAACCACCAGGCGTCGATCAGCCAATTTTTGGATGCGCCGCGCATTTCGCTTCAGTTTAGAGTGGTGCTGAATGTGTTTCGGCTTATGCAATGGTTTGCTATGGTTAGCCAAGTTAAAAGGCACTATTACCCTTAGGCGCTTCAAGCTCAAAAGGGTGCGGTATTAATCAGAATGCTCGAATAGATGGGACGCTCGGCTGGCTGAGCGATAATAACTTGCTGGAATCAGCCTGTCGGTATATGCCTAGTCGGTGCTTTTATCTTTTCGAAATCTAATGAGCCAATCAGTCTAATCTCAGCGAACGGACTATTTAAGAAACATTCAAGACACTTCCCGAGATAAAGTGGTCCTTAAAATGGTTCTGTGCCTTTGGAATAGGCATACGCGTTCACAGAGAACGTATCACTTGCGTCCCTCAAAACGGCGAGATGAAGTTAGATACACGCAGAAGTTGCAACGCGTGCAACATCATACTGTAGCTGTACGAGACAACGGCTCACAAACTTCCATCCCCACAACATCCGCGCGGCACCTGTCGCGCGCGGCGCTCACCTCGCACGGCGGTCGGGTGCTCACCGAAGCTGGCGGCAGTGTAGCCTATTTTCCCCATCTGATTCTCCGAGTGAATACCGATTTCAAGCCGTCACCTCCTGTCTGAAGCTGCAAA